TTCCCCAGTGTCTCCGCAGCCCTAGCGTTTCTCAGAAGTGCCAGTCCAAGGTGCCTGCTGAAAGCTGGACAGGCTGGCACATGTGTAGAACCCCAGCACTGGGAAGCTGAGTCCCGAGGGCCTCTGGGAATCCCAGGCCAGCCCGGAGTAAGTACTGAGTTCAAGGCCAGGCTGAACTGCTAACCAGATGTGATTTCAAACGAGGATGATAAAACCAAAACCCAGCCTCCTCTGAGACTCAGCAGTGAATCACTGTAAAAGTCAAGGACAGGTGACATAATCTCACCGCGCAATGTCTCAAGGTAGTTATGCGCATTGCACCTGGTCCCAGAAGATCAGACCAAAGCAAGACCAAATCCCAGCAGGACACACTTTAAGTCCTGTGGCTCTAGAGCTGGTGTCTGGAGCTCATGGTTTTGGGAGGTGAGTTCAAGGGGTTGTGTGCAGCCCCAGCCTAGGGCTTTGTGGGTTGCCGCCCACACAACCTCTCTCTCTGGCTGGGTCGCGCTCAGGGTCTGCAGCCGTCCTTGGAAGATGTCCCACAATCCTGTCCCGCATATGTGGGAGGTGCTCCAACTCCCTGGATCCGGGCTCCCTCCCCACTGCTTCATGTACTCCCCTTTTAGGACTCAGTGTCTGGCCTCCCAGGCATTCCTTTGAAGTCTAGATGAAAACTTCAGGGACCCCAGATCTCCTTCTGCATGCACCTGTATCACACAGCACATAAATGATGCCGAAGTCTTCGTGGAGCAGTAGTGAGGCCCCCTCGGCCCATGGCTGCGGAAGCATCTGAATGTCTAGATGGCTGGCTATGTGGCAAGTAGTCCCGGTGGTAGGGACCTATTAGAGGAGGAGAATCAGGGTAAAGGACCTTTTGTTGGAATGCGGAGTGACAACAAAGGAAAGGTTAGGTCCCTGTGCTGATGGGAATAACCCAGACAGAAGAACATGGTGCACAGGGAGGAGAAGACGAGCTAGAGCATGTCCTGGACCTGGCAAGAATGGAGGGGCCTTGAATTACAGTGGGAGGATGCAAGCCAGACATGCACAGATTCTGCAGGTTGCTTGGCAGCTGCACCTACTGTGTGCCATCACTGTGTGGGGCCAGTCTGTGCCACCCACTGCCACTGCACTGTGAGCCTCACAAGGCAAAGCTGGGACCTTCCTGCTGGTGCCAGTCACAGAGTGTGGGCTGGGCAAGGTGTTTGATAAGTGAATGAAAGAATGAATGAATGCTCTTGCACCATCAGCATCTCAGTACATGGAGCTCTTGTGACCCTGGGGCAGAGTCTCCTTCACAGCTGAGGGTCATCAGTCTCATCTCATGTCATCCTCAGCATCCAGGTTGAGAGGGACAGTCAGGCTCTGAGTGCACATCCCTTCCCCAATCACGTGTGTTTTTAAGCTCAGCCTCAAGTGGACGGGGCTTCAGGGCAGAAGGACTAGAAGGTGCCAAGGCCCAGGAGCAGAAAAGGCAGGGATTGCCCGGTGGGACCCCAGGAGTCAGGGCTGTGCCTGGCCTCTCACAGAAGGACACGGCAACAGGTCCAGGTGAAGAAAACGGGTTTGTGGCAGGGTCCCTGGGAAGCCAAGGCAGGTTCTAGTCTGCAGAGGGCCAGGGTTGGTTCAACCTTTGCAGGGACCTCGGTGGTGAGTTAGAGAGTGTGTGGGAGGTCCTGAGCCTGGGGTGCCCCAGGCACTATGAGTCCCCAGTCCCACAGCAGGGAGCAGGTGCTCGCTAGGCACACAGGAGTGATGGAGAATAAAGATGGGATCAGGCAGCCAAGTGGTGAGAGGCAGAGCCTGCATGGACCCTGGGAGTCCTCAAGCTGCTGCACAGAGGTCACCTCAGTCTGCTGACTGTGCCCAGAGCTGCCCTCCCTGGTCTTCCTCCTCCTCCCGCACCTCTCTTGTCCTCTGTCCAGCTCAGCCACCTCAGGGCTTTAACACTGACTATCAAGGCCAGGACAAATTTATTGTTGGCTGAGTGAATGACTAAAAGTGAAACGCACGCCAGAGTCACTGGGCATACCTGGTGTCCCTGCACTCTGGGAGGTCGCGGCAGGAGGATAACAAGCTAAAAGCAGGCCTGGATGACTGAAGGGCCTGTGTTTGAAGAAATAAAAAGGGCTGACAGTGGAGCTCAGGGCGAAGGCCCTGGGTTCACGGTTCACCCCAGCTCCTGGTGCAGGGCTGGAGGGGTGCAGGGCTGAGTGACTGAATTTCTGCAGCTGGCCAGGAGGGGGCTGGACATCGTCCTCATCAGTAGAAGCCTCAGCAAGTTGGAAGAGGAGGCCAGGGAGATTGGTGAGTGCACAGCCTGTGGGGAAGCCCTGGGCTCCCTGGGCTGGGGTCAGGGGTGGACCTGATGGCCTGAGGCTGCAGCTGGGAACACTGTGGCCAGGCAGGGACAGGGCAGGGGCAGTAACTGATACCTGCAATCCCCCAGAGCGGCTGCATGGCCGGTCCACGCGCGTGATCCAGGCTGACTTCACCGGGGGCTTGGAGATCTATGATGCTATCGAGGCAGGCCTGCGGGGCCTGGAGATCGGAGTCCTGGGTGAGTCACCTGCCTGCTTTGCACACCCGGAGCGTGCCAGGTTCCCTCCTGTGCCCATCCCGTGTCCCTGAGTCGTGAGGGATGCCGTGCAACCTCTCGCGCAGTGAACAATGTGGGCATGGCGTACGGAAGGGGTAACTCCATAAGCTGGTGCAAGCTGCTGGACTGCACAGACCCCGGCCAGGTGAGTCCGGGCTGCTGGTGCCGCTGTTCTCCCCCCTGCTGGACGGGACGCAGAACACACTGGGTTCCCCAGCGCCAGTGCCAGGCTCCTCATGGCCTTTGGCTGGAAAACTGTACAGCCGCCACAAAGTCTGTGCTGGAATTCGAGGTCCTTTTGCAGTGTTCAACCTGTAGGGGTCGAGCCTGCTTGTCACCTTTCATATTCCCGGGTTCTGATTGTAAAAAGAACCCACAAGGGAGAACCAGAATGTGGACTCTCTAAATGGGGAGAGAAGAGAAATGGAAGGGGAGGAAAGAGAGACATAAGGAGAGAGAGAGAGAGAGAGAGAGAGAGAGAGAGAGAGAGAGAGAGAGAGATCGGGCGAGAGGCAGACATACACACAGACACACAGAGAGACAGACAGTTCAGAGTGGCCTCAAACTCACAGTGATCCTCCTGCCTCAGCCTCCCAGGTGCTGGGGTTAGGGGCCGGACCCCCCACACTTGGCCTGTTCCCTTTTATTTCTGACTTGAGTAACTCCAGTTTTTTTGTTAAAGAACCATCTCTTCTTCTTGTGTCACCACATGTCTCTGTTAATTTGCGAGTTTCTGTTTTGCCTTTATGATTTGGTGTGAGCTGCAGGTTTAATGTGGCTCTCTGCACTGGCTGTAGAGCTGTTGATCTGTGACCTTACTTCCTGTTTACCGTGGCCTCCACAGCTATACAGCTCCTCCCTAGGACGGCTTTTCTGAGTCCCGGAAGTTTGGCTATGTGGTGTGTTCATTTTACTCAATTTCTTTCTTTCTTCTTTGTTTCTTTCTTTCATAAAAGTAGGAAGTATTTATTGTATGAACAAAAGTTTTTGTCTAAGATATGCAAGAGGACCTGGAAAAAGAAAAGGGTTCTCTCTATTTCTTCTTCTTCTTCTTCTTCTTCTTCTTCTTCTTCTTCTTCTTCTTCTTCTTCTTCTTCTTCCTCTCTCTCTCTCTCTGTCTCGCTCTCTCTCTGCTTCCTTCTATCTGTCTTCATTTTTTGAGACAGTCTTCACTATGTAGAAGAGGCTGAGCTTGAACTCTTGGAGGATTCTCCTGTCTCAGCCTCACAATAGCTGAAATTACAGGTGTGCACCAGCATATCTGGGGCCTCTTCAGTTTTCATAGTAAAGGTGTGTGCACTTTGCTGTGTCTGTACTATACTGATTATTTTAGTTCAGCAGACTGAATCCAGGGGCACTGTACCCCTGAGCTGCAGCCCCAGCCCTTTTTAGTTTGAGACAAGGTCTCACTAAAAAGAAAGCAATGCTGCTCAGGGTGGCCGTGAACTTGTGATCTCTCTGCCTCGGCCTCCCAAGTTGTTAGAGTCATAGGGAGGTAGCACCTCGCCGGCCTGGGATCCAATAGCTTCGAGCGTCCTCGTGTGTGAGAATCTCAGACAGCAGCGTGTTTCTACAAGGCGAGCTGAGAGGTCCAAGGACGGGAGCTTTTCAGATTCTACTGGGGACTGGGTTTTTACAAAACGTGTTCTGTTAGTGAAAGAAATAAGACACACATGTGAGAGCGTGAGAAGCTGAAAGCAGAACACACGCATGTGTGCAGGTAGATGTGTGTATATAAAACAGTTAAGTTAGCTATTCTATGGCTTTCTCTGAGTTCACGGAAGAGATTTGTGCTGGTTCTGTTCATCTGAACGCAAATGTCTTGTGCTCTGCTGAATTATTTGGGGGTGATGATGCACAATGTGTGTTGTACATCCTGATTGTATGTACCATCCTGATGGACGTGCTTTGAAATTTTGTTGTAGTTTTTCTGCTTCTTCTTCTTTTTCTTCCTCTTCTTTTTCTCCTAGAAACAAAATGGATTTGAAAAAAAGTATAATCCACAACAGCAAAACAAAACAAAACAAAATGTGTTCTGAATTTTAAAAATAAGAAAAATAGCCAAGCATGGTAGCACTGTAATCCCAGTACTTGGAAGGCTGAGGCAGGAGGATCATGACAAGGTGAAGGGAACCTGGGCTGCGTAGTAGGTTGGAGGCCAACCTGAGCTACATAGAAAGACCTTGCTATGTAGGAAGGAAGGAAGGAAGGAAGGAAGGGAGGGAGGAGAGAGGGAAGAAAAGATAGATAGGTAGATAGATAGATAGATAGATAGATAGATAGATAGATAGATTAAGCTAGGGAGACAGGAAACGTGGGAGGTGTGGGGGCTTGGGAAGCAGGCAGTGACGGGCTCCGTGTTCATCCCCAGAGCGTATTAGATATCATCAACTGCAACACGATGTCGGTGGCACAGGTCAGTGGGGCCGGGAGGGCTGTGTCCAGGGCCACTATGGCTGCCACCACCTGGGGGTCTCCATACTGAGGGTGAGGGTGTCCGAGTGAGCCCCTGGGGGATGGGGACAGCACCTTGGTGAGGAGGGCCAGGGAAACACAGGTGTCTCTTCTGCCCCACAGATGGTTCGCATTGTCCTGCCCCAGATGGTCAGCAGGTGAGAGCCGCTCACTGTCCTCACCCTGGATTCCCCAGCCCCGGCCTCCAGGCTCCACATCCCTTCCCCTCCCCATTTCCAAGTCTTCAGTCCAGGCTGACCTGGGGCTCTTCACCCTCCTGACTCAGCCTCGGGGCTGCAGGGATTATGGGCATGCGGCACCGTGCCAGGTCCCAGTGTTCGCTCTCCTCAGCCCTTTGAGAGGAGGGCTCCTGCCAAGGGAGGGACAATCACCTCGCCCTCTTCTCCTGCGGGGCAGTGACCCCTTGCAACACGGTCCTCTCCTCCAGGGGCAAAGGTGTCATCATCAACATGTCCTCCGTGGCTGGCTCTAGGAGCTCCCCTTTTTATGCCTTATACTCAGCTACTAAGGTAACAGAACCCCCAGACCCCAGATGGAGGCACATCTCACCCCGAGTCCTTCCTGGACCCTGTGTCCTGGTGGGGAGATTATGGTGGAACGTGCTGGGGGTAGGGGGTGGGGACGCGGAGTGGGGTGTCCTCCCTGGGCCTAGGCTGGGGCTCCTCGGTCCTCCTCTCCTCCTCCCGCAGGCCTTTGTGCGAATCTTCTCAGAGGCGGTGTGTGCAGAGTACTTTCCTCAGGGTGTCACCATCCAGGTGCCCACAGGGGGCGCGGAGGCTCCAAGGGCGGGGTTGGGGTAGCTGCTATGGAGGATAGGGCTGAAGAAGCAGGGTTAGAGGGATCTGGGACTCGGGGTTCAGTGGCCAATGAGAATCTGTGGGGGTTGTGGTTGTGGAGATTGTGGTCTCACCCTTGTGGGAGTGGGGCCTGGGAGGTGAGATCTCCCTATCAAGGGCGGATCTAGGCTTCAGGGGGCGTGGTCTAGCTCCCAGGAGGCGGAGTCCAGGCCTTAGGGCGGGTCTACATCTAGGCACAGAGTCTAGGTCTCAGGGTGGGGCCTGGGTCCTGGAGGCTGGGAGTAGGACAGGTCCACATCTGGCAGGAGAAAAGGTTTACGGGCCTTGGAGACCCAGCTAGACAGGGCGGGGGGTTGGCTCTCCAGACAGAGGGACAGGATTGTATCATGGACCCCCTCCCTCCTGTCCTGCAGACTGTGAGCCCCATGTTTGTCTCCACTAATATGATCAACAATGCACAGACCGGGCTGCTCGTGAAGGACGCTGACGAGTTCGCCCGCGAGGCGCTGGACACGCTGGGTCTCTCCTCCCATGTTTCGGGCTGCCTCAGGCACGCCGTGCAGGTGCCTCTAGGGCGGGTGCTCCCTGCTCAGGCGGGTGGGGAGGCGCAGGGGAGGCTGAGCTGACTCTGCCTCTCTCCTGCCCAGAGCTTCCTGCTGCCTTTTGTCCTGCCCAAGTGGTTTCTGCACAGTCGCTGGGGAGTCAAACTTCTAGATGCAGGAGACAAATCCAAGCTGTTTCCTTTCGTTAATGCCCGGACGAATTAGTGAAGATGCATCCCGAAGATCTCCCGCGGGTGTAATAGAGGCGCAGGCCGCTGGGACACCGCACACTGCGGGCGGGGGCGGCCTGGCTCAGCTCCTGCAGAAAGATCCAGTTTTCCATAGGAGCTGTGGACAGCCAGACAGCTCCTGGTGACATTTTATAATCAATAAAAGTTGTACTTGTTGCACAACTTAGTGAATGTACTGAAATCCCAAGAACTGTGCACGTTGAAGGGGTGACTCTTATGTGGCTGTCTCAATAAAAACAACTGTGGGATGGAGCCCCTCACTCTATGAAAGCATGTAGTTTCCTTCCTTCCTTCCGTCGTGCACAGCATAAACTTCAAATGAATCCACACTCCCCAGGTAAAAGGGGACAGAGAACGGCTGGAATTCAGGAGCCAGTTCTTTTCCATCTTCTGAGCTTTTGGTTTGCAATTTTTGGTTTCTGACACAGGGCTGCCTGTGGAGCCCAGGATGGCCTCTGACTCCTGCTGACCCTCCTGCTGAGCCTTTCTGAGTGCGGGGATTACAGGTGGGCACCACCATGCCCTGCTTGCTTTGCATCTTGGGAGTAGGGAAAACCTAAATATTGAAGATTTAAAGCAATCACAAAAAGAGCCACTAATAAGCATTCACAGAGCAGAGTGAGTTAGCTGCAGAGTGCACTCTCCCTGCGGGGACTTTGAAAAGCACAGGAAAGGCAGGTGGGTGAGTGATGGGGAAAGCAGGACGGTGCGGTGTTGGTGGTAGAGCCGAGGTGGCTTCTGTGAAATTTCTTTGGTTTTTCTGTAGGTTGCAATGGTTCACTATAAAGTGCTGGAGGAGCTGGTGCTGGGGCTGCACAGCTGTAATCCAGGCACTGGGAAGGCTGAGACAAGAGGGTTGCTAGATGTTTGACGTAATACTGGGTACATAGTTAGTTCAATGCCAGCCTCAACTACATAGAAAGATCCTATTTTTAAAAAAGCCTGGGGAGAAGCTAGGGGAAACCCAAAAAAATTTGCTAACATATATAAATCTACTGAAACTGCTTTAGAAATTGCTTAAGAAACAATGATTCAGTCCAGAGTGATGGTGCACACCTGCTATTCCAGCACTCTGGAAGACTGGGCACCTCAATCACTTAGCAGGACCCTGCCCCAAAATCTAAAGTAAAACAAAATTTTAAAAGGGCTGGTGGCCAGGCATGGTGGCACCCGACTGTAATCGAAGCACTTTGCATGCTGAGATGGCAGGATGACTTTGAGTTCAAGGCCATCGCGTTCCACAGAGTGAGACCTGATCTCAAAAAGACAAAAAGGAGAATTAAATAAATAAAAAGGGCGAGAATGCAGCTTCGTCTGTTCCCTCTGGGTTCAGTTCCCATTACAGAAAAGGACCACGCTGTAGCACCGAAAAAGTTAGGAGAATTTCAGACAAGATATTTACAATTTACATCACATTGAAGGTGTTTGTCTCCTTAAAATACACAGGACCTTTTTAAATAATAAAGAGAGGGGCTCCTGGGAGGATGGTGGAACAGTAAGCAGCAAAGTAAAAAGCCTCTCTGAGAGAAACAGCCCAGATGCTGGAATACAGCATTCTGGAGAAGACCAGAAGGAGAGAAATGGGTCCCTCGGCCCAGGAAGAACCTAAAGTGAGAATCGAAGCCCACACAAAGCATAAAACAAAAGAGAGAGAAAAACATAAACAGAGGCTGGTAGGAGCCAGCGCATTCACTGGAGCCGGTCCCACTGTGAGGGCAGCCTGCTGGAATCCGGAGAAGCACAGCCACAGTGAAGCAGGGCTGGCAAGACCGCAGGCCTGGCCACTGACACATGGTGGTGGAGGAGGTACCAAGGAGGTGGCGAGGTGTTAGCCTGCCCCAGCCCTGCGTATACTCCAGTAGTCACCAGCAGATTGGGGACAGCAGCAATCCCTGCGCAGCACACTTCACAGTAAGTATAACCAATACAGGAAGTGCCAGACACCCCACTACCCCTGGCTGGAAGAATCCAGGAACATCACAAGCCTAAGAAGCAAAAGGCAGTCTCTGGCCCCAACCCAAGCAGCACTGCTCCAGGAGAGATCAACAGGGTAGAGATCGGAGTCTCCCACCTGCAGTTTCAGAAGTAACAGCAACCGACACAAAGAAACAACTCCATGAAGCTATAAAATGAACTTGAAACAGAAATACTATTACAGGTTAAGGAATTTATAAGAAGCATAATGAAAGAATTGCTAAGCACCTCTAAAGAAGACACAGATGGAAGAAAACAGGCGCATAGAAAAGGAGGGTAACCTTTGATGAAGAATATAAAAATAATTTACTAATATGAAATAGATTGAAACAGATTACCAGGAAATTAAAGACTCCATTGAAAGCTGGCAAAACTGCTTGAAAGAAACTAAAGATAGACTATCAAAGCTTGAAGACAGGTTTGCAGCTTGGGATCGTGAAAAGAAAGATCTCTTAAAAAGAACAAGGAACCAAGAAGTAACAATACAAAGGCTGGAAGACCACAAGGGGATCTATAACATCAGAATAAAAAACATGAGTGAACAAGCAGGGGTAAACACAAATGAAATACAAAGGCTATTTACAGAGATAATTAAAGAAACTTTCAAGCATAGGAACAGGAAATGATATTCAGATTAATGAGGCATACAGAACTCCAGCCAGCTACAACCAACATAGATCTACACACAAGTAATCATATTACTTGATAGGTAATAATCAAGATCCCAGAAACACAACACAGGAATAGAATAGTAAAAGGTGTCAGAGAAAAGAAACAGGTCCTCTATAAAGGAAAACACATCAAAATCATGGCAGACTTCTCTACACAAACCATCAAATCAAGAAGAGCTTGGAGCGAAGTATTTCAAGCCCTGAAAGAAAATAATCTCCAACCCAGATTGATGTAAGCTGCAAAATAGTCTCTCAGAATTAATGGGGAAACAAGATGCTTCCATGACAAAGAGGAACTGGGGGAGTTCATGACCACTAAACCAACCCTACAAAAAATACTGAAGGACAGAGAGAGGGAGAGGGGGAGAGAGAGAGAGAGAGAGAGAGAGAGAGAGAGAGAGAGAGAGAGACAGACAGACAGACAGACAGACAGAGACACAGACACAAACACAGACAGAGAGACAGAGAGAGAGGGAGAGAGGGAGAGAGAGAGACAGAGAGGGAGAGAGAGAGACAGAGAGAGACAGAGACAGAGAGACAGAGAGAGAGAGACAGAGAGAGAGAGAGAGAGAGAGAGAGAGAGAGAGAGAGAGAAGCCCATGGTTTCAGGAAGAGTGGCAGAGGGGCCTCAGAAAAATAGCTGGGGAGAGGTGAGGCAGAGAAGGTTGGCCAAAATCACTAACATGGATGGGTTCCATGAATAATAAAAAGGAGCACAGGAGAGGGCGGATCAGGAGATAGAATCCATCATCATGCTCTATAGAAGAAATATAATTAATCAGAATGAGGGTTTATAGACTGAAAGTCAAATTTGAGAAAACAGTGCTCTATGTGCCAGAACCAGGAAAAAGTGAGGGTCGCTTGCCCATCAGCTGCAGATTGGCTAGAAAGCCATGACACTTTTATACAAGGGAAAATACTCACCTCTAAAGAAAGACAACCTTGGGGCTCTTGTAGGCAAATGGGTACAACTTGAGATCATGCTCAGGGGTAAAAGGTTCAGAATCACTTAGGTGAACAGTGGGGATGCCTCCCTAACTTAAAATCTAACGGGGTTAGTGGGATACGAAATGTGCAATGCACCCTGTGAATGTGAAAGGGAGGAGTTGTCTAACAAGGGAAGCCAGGGTCATTGTTAGTTTTGGATCATGTTTGAAATCCATATTGTTTTCATCTAAACTGAACTCTGTTTAGCTTGCTTTTATTCTGTCCCAGTTTGTCTACTTGTACGAGATTTGATGGCATGGACAGTTATCCCAAAGACAGCAGGATATAATATGGTAACCATTTTTGATTTCCTATGAACTTAATTTGAAGCCCTATATTGCTTCTACTGTCTTGTTTTGAATGATTTTATTTGAACCTGTTTTGTTTGATAGTATCAAGTCTGAGGGTATTGGCAACTACTCTGAAGACAATACCATTCACTATGATACCCATCCTGGTTTGACTATTATCTTCTTCTAAAGTCCTATAATGTTTCCGATGTTTTGTTCTTATTGGTTTTGCTCTGTACTGATTTGTTCAATTTTATTATGCCTGATTACATGGGCAATTCTTTGGAAGATCACAAGAGGCATTATGGTAACCATGGTCGGTCACCTTGTATTTTGTTCTTAAGTCAGGTCTATGTCCGTCTTTTGTTTTGACTGACTCTATTTTGTTTTGTCTCATTTGGTTTCATTCTCTTAAAAAATAATAAAGCGAAAGACCCAAGTCCCAATATGTTTTCAAGGCCCAAAAGAACAGATAGTTCTAGAGAAAGTCAGACAGCTGCCCTTACCCTTTATAGAAACTGCTCAGCCTCACTTGTGATGGTAACCTCCCCAGGCACGCAGTAGGGGGCACGCGTGGCGTGGCTGAGGGCCTGGACCTGATGCCCAGGACAGGAGAAGGAGAGGAAAAGGAGGAGGGGAGGGGTGAGGACCCGGATGAAGACTATCTAAGGTAGCATTGTTCACCCGTGGAATTGGCAGAGACTCCCATACTGAAGAGATAGATGCTCCAGGGCACTGCTGGGGCCACTGAGGCAGGAGAGTAGGGCAGGGCACACCCCAGGAAGAACCCCTGGAAAGTCCTAAGAACCCAGAGGACATGCACAGAACACAGGACCCAGGCCCCGCCCTCTCCTGAGCCCTGAACCTGGAGCCAATCAGAAAGCGGTTTTCTCTGTCCTCATTTGCATCTGGCTGGAGCCAGGAGAGCCTTCCACAGTATGGTTTCAATTTGGTGGCAGAACAGGCGAATTTTTGCTGGGACAAATGTCTGTGTATCTTACTTGCATGACGCAGAAGCTGATCCAGGAATTTCGGATCCCGATGAGCGATTC